ACCTCTCAAGCTTTCACGAATGCATTCTCCACTTAAGAACACTAAGTGCTTAGGATGGCAAGCTTTGAACAAAAGGGTTCTCATCCATCAACAACACGTTTGTCAGCCCACAGCTCGTCTGCTTATGCTTAATGTCCCTCAATCAAGCTGCAGAGCTCCTGAGAAGTCTCAAAACATGATTTACAGTCTAACACAGGGGTCTATAATTACAATTTCCTCAAGCAAAGGTCCGGAACATCATAATGTCTAACCTGCATCATGATTCAGTGCCACATACTGTTTACTGAAGTAGCCTAGTAGTTATAGCAACATCTTATACAGTCAACAACTGAATGTCAAATCAAATAAAGTACAATTCAGTAACATTTCAACAATATTTGTCAGTTTTCTCTTTTTAGAGCACACCACGTAAAATAATCTGACTCACTTTCTTCTCCGATTGCTGTCTCGCCTCCTCCCTCCCGTGTGTGCGTCACTTGAGTCTCAGTGCTTGTCGTAATGCACAGATCTGACTGGCTGAGCAGCGTCACGTGTGATATTTATAACTCATGCGATTGGTCTGTGGGTCCCCTGGGCCGCTAAACCGATACCGTAATGACTAGAAATGATAGGCCGATTAAAATAGGACCACCCCGTTGAAATTAAATAATTATCCGTTGGTTATCATAGATCCAGGTCCGCAAAGGACAGCGTCTGGGTCCGGACTCGGACCACGGTCTGCTTATTAGTGACCTCTGGTCTACCACACGGCCTTACACAAATCTTCAGGTGATTTGGTGCACATGTGGCTGTAGCTTGTCCCCTGGGATGTTCATAAGAAGTTTGTCACCTAAAAACAAAGCCTATATGTCTAAATCACAACACGGCTTAATGGACATATGGATCCTATAATGCCCTGACATCTCCAAGTGTATATGTGTAGGAATTGACTGTATTTTTCATAAAGAAAAACAGGCCATCTATTTTCTCTAATGAGCTATTTTGTGGTATTAGTGCACTGAAAAGCTCAGCAGGGCAGATCATGCTCTCGAGACAGGGCGCTGATGGGCCAAAGACAAAGAACAGATCTCTTTTCCACTGGCCTGTGTATGTGAATGCGTATATGATTGTGAAGTTCCTCAGTGCCAAGGTCATGACATGCACCGCACATAAACAAGTGCTGGCACCAGTGCCGGCATATCTCAGCAGCTTTTGTGTTGGCCTTCCCCTGTGATGAAGCAAGGCGACGAGAGCACCAAAAGTGGGATATGAAAGCAATTAGAGAGAAGGCCAGGCTATCTGCTATTTTTGTTTCCTTTACAGCTCATCCGAGACAAATCCATGGACCCCCGGCTCCTCGCATACGCCGAAATCATGACCAAGTATCTGGAAAATGTGAAGATCTTTTACAGTCGCTGCTACCTTAGTTCCAATAAAGCGGTGAAAACAACAGTACAATATTACCCCGAAGAGCGAGACAAAATAATTAAAAAATTCTTGCCATGCTTAGTCTGATCTTTTTGGCCAGACAGACAGTAATTCTATTGGATATTTAGGCCGCATATTTGAATATATTATTTACTGTGTAACCAAACAGCAGCATTCTTTCGAAAACAAAGCATACTTGCCGAGGAGAAAAATGTGCCCGTGCTCCGAAAAACACTTTGACCTTCCTCTGTCTACAACATAATGTTCCAAAGAGACACAGTTTAACGATCCTTTTATAGGTGCCTAAATTTTAGTGCAAATCTGGAACAGTTCTCTAAATGCAACTGCTAGTCACATGGGTCTATAAAACGTATCTGACGCTAGAAGATTTACGACTGTAAAACAATAAAAACAAAAATGTCAATGTTTCAGACAAGTATGATAGTAACGGTGTCAGCATGAGGAAGTGATCTCTGCTACATCCATTGAGGACGACATTCCTGAGGCCAGAGTGCCTGTCTACAGTGTGCTGACCTACAGCATTAGCATGGATGCCAGCAGTGTCCTCCAGCGCTGCTCATTTCCCACTGGGGGGAACAGGCTTCCGATTCCAAACAGGGTCAACCTAACCCTACAGACTGAATTCAGAACTCTACTGTCTTGCTTTTCAGCCCTCATCTATAAGGTTCTCAAAAGGTCCTCGTGAGATGTTCCAAAATAAAGCAAGAGGACATGACTGAACTGGCTGGCCTCCTGTGGACGAGTCTTTACTGTCATTCAACACTTCTCCAACACCAGCTTAATGGGGCACTATCAGTCAGGTGGTTTCCATTAGAACGTCTCCACGTGCCGCAACGCTTGGAAAGTTGCTCCTGAAACAAGACAGAAGGGCCTCGACTGTTCCAGATGTGACCTGACTGGAAGAAAGAGACCTGCTGAACTTTCTACAATACGTTGTCTTCATCTTTCTTTCCAAACACATTCCATGTTAACTTGTAGCCGGTGGTGCCAAATGCCCTTTCACCATGAACAGCACAGGCTGTTTCTGTAGTGCGAGTCCATATGAAGTCATATATGACCTGTTCTCTCCCTCAGGCCAGATATTTTTGAAAACTGAACTTTTTCTGTATTTCATTTCTGGTCATTTTTTGGCCGCTGAAAATGGCAGTTTCCCGAAAATTCTCTCCAGGGTGAAGACTTGAAAACGGTGTTATTAGTGTTTCAATGAGGATGTTTCTTTTAAAATGCTTATCTTGAGCTACGTTCACATTACCAGGTTGAAGTGGCACAGATCTGATTTGCTGCCCTAATGTGACTCAGATCTGATGTTTTCAGGGCTGTGGACACACAAATCTGATCTTTTCAAATCCGACCTGAGTCACTTTCATATGTGGTCCTAGATCAGATATGTATCTGATTCGTGGCCATGTGACCTTAATGCGATGCTCAGATTGGAATTCATGTGCTTTTCCTTCACGGCGCGTGCGCCATCATTCAGCGTTACCATGGCAGCAGCGTCGAACAGACGTTAAAGCCTGTAAACGGTGGAAAAGCAGCACATCTTTTTCACCTTCATCTCACTCTAATAATGAAGCTGAGAGCTGATCAGAGTTAATTATCTTTTCAGCGAAGCTCGTTCTGACCGTTAGTTTGTTTGCTGATGATGCACGTGATTCATTCATGTGACGTTACTCAGCAAGACGTGCGCATGCGGGTCATTTCAGGACGCCAAACGGAGTGAAAAGCTAGTGAACTATGAAGTAGAAAAAACTCTTCTCGGCCTGACTCTGTTGCTGTTCTAGAGAGTGACGTAGGCATGGAAATGTAAACAACTCCATGGCAGCAGGGAATAGGCTTTCTTTTGCTTTTTTGAAAATCTGCTCCAGTTTCACAATGTATTCTGTATTTTAGCCAATATGCATGCTCACAAATGTTCTCTGTGAGGGATCTGGCATCAACTTTGTATGAAATATTGCTCTCTACTGAAGAGGATACTCATGTAAGCATTTCTGAGCTATTTTTTACATTATCATGTGGATAAAAACTCTCAGGAACTGCTGTTTGTGTGGACAGTTTCTTTCTAAAAAACTGAGGAAAAAAAACTGCTTTCGAAATATACAGATACATGTGGATGAGGCCTTAGTGCTGCATGTTCATTCGATGCTGTTGGTCAGTTTGATTAATCATGATGGCTAATTGTATATGGATTTCACTGCACATAATCTAATTAAGGGATTTCCAGTGCCTCATCAAATAAAAAATCTCAAGCTTAAAAATCACTTCCATGTATCTGTTCCTAGAAAGTCTTAAGCTCATAAGGGTCTTATTTCACTTAATAAAACACACTTTATTAAATATTCAATGTGCAATTAGACTTGTTTAAATTTAATTCACACTTTCTTTTCTAGAGGATGACTGTACAAACTGCACTTAAAAGCAGATACGTTTCTATTTGGGACAAAGTAAATTAGTCTTGACCGGGCATCAGAAATATAATGAGGTGGGATACCAAAGCCCTTCCTAATATTTTGCTGAGGCCGAAAAAACACAGGAGATCACATATTTGACCTAGACCTACACGTGAATGTCAGACTTGGACTGTGATGTCCCCAACTGCTTTTACAACTCCCATACCTAGTGGCCTGCAGTGGTCTGCTGATGTCCACTCAGCTGCAGATGTTTGGACTAATGGCCAACCAGTCTGGAGCACCAAAATATGCCAGGAACTCAAAATGACTCAATAAAAATCATTCACTTAGAAAACAGCACAGTGCTATTAAAATCTCCCAACCTCATGATGTGAAGCTGTAAAACATGAAGGTCTACCAACAGGACCTTGTTATGCACTGTGATTGATGGCACCATGACAGTTTATAGAGGTACACAACAGAGAGACATTCGATAACTTGCCAATCACTTGCCGATGATAATTCGGAGGAAAAAAGCAAAGTAAACCCCAAAAGCACAACACGGATCAGACAGATTCTTAGAGGCAAATTTTGGTAATGTATGGTGAGTCTGTTTCTGTAGGAATAATAAATTATAAAAACAAAGCAAGAATTGAAATTAAAGGCAAAGTGCTGTAATTAACCCAAATCTGCTCTCTCCATGAAGTCATACATTTCAGATGAGTCACTAGAAGAAGTTATGTAAGTCCCAGTGCTTGTATCCACAGCAATGGCTCAATATTATTGAGGCAGTTAAAACAAAGGTAATATAAATGAACCTGCCTTTGCAGATGTGTCTGTTGAGCACCACTCTCTCAGGTACTCATTCACTTGCTACCCATTATAATCAAAACCTGCTTTAGCTCATTAAAATCCACCAGGAGGTCCAGCTACTACATATTAAAGAGGAACTGACAGCTACTGAACCTCTCTCTCGTGATAAACCTGTGGATTTGTAGACCTCATAAATGCCTTGCGAATCTAGTCAAGGAACTCAAGTTCTAAGAAAGAGCCTGGACGTCTTGTAGAGACAGTGGTCAGTGCACACCTGATGTTATTAAGAAACTTTCATAGATCAGTGGAATTTCACAGCAAGAGTTCAGCAAAACACTATTTGTGCAGGGAGCAGGTAAAAGGAAGTCGTACCTGAAGAGCACAGTTCATCATGCGCACTATGTGGTCGAACTGCTGGTGGTCCAGGATGGCACGGTTCTGCTGTACGTGTAGGCTGAGCTCTTCGGTCAGACACTGTCGCGCCGCCCTGCCTTTCAGTGCGCGCAGGGCCGCAGGGAGAGCCTGTGCACAGCAACACATTCACATCTCAGACAGTATAACAACACAAGCTGTGGAATTCCAGAGATTATGTCACTTTAAGGTCTTTCTCACTAAGCCTGATTCTTAGACCACACAAGTTGTCACGTTTTGGACGTTAATGGTGTACAACACTGTGGTATCTCAGTCTGTCCTAAAATGCTATCATTACGTTTAACATGGACTTGAAATGTAACTCATTTTGAGGCACAGCTACACACAATTTTTGTACAAAATGATAAACTTTCAACTTTTTCAACACATATATGCATACAGGGTGATTCAAAAAGATTTATCTGATTTCAAAGCGCCATATTTTTCCGACCGTGAGGCGCCTAGGAACCAATCACAATCCAACTGAAAGAGGGGGTCATAGGGTTTCTGGCTCCCTTCAGTCTGTGAGGAGATGAGAACCCTGAGCAGAAAGCGTTCTGCGTTCTCCACTTCAATAAGAGTGAATCCGTCAACTGTGCAGCGTGATTTTCATTGGCAATGAACCTCCAACAGCTCAGAGCGTTCGTCGTTGGTTCCACAACACTGGATGATCTCCGAAATCGCACTGAAAGAGATGTGAGTGCAGCGACACCCGACATGCTCAATCCAGTATGGGATGAATTTGACTATGGCGTTGATGTTGTCCGTACAGCTGGAGGAGGTTCATATTGAGACCTTGTAAAATTCTGTTCCTGGGATGCTGGTGTCCAGGGTTGCTGGTGTCCAGGACAATTTGGTGATTTACCTGCTGTAGCACACCTGATTACCTTATATGTTAAGTGGCTATGTTTGAGTAGGGAAACTTCCAAACTGTGCTGGACACTGGCCCTCCAGGACCGAAGTTGTGTACCCCCGATGCTCGTAAGTTTACATACTTATGGTTCAATTTTTAAGACATTTACCATTTTTAGAAACTATGCGAATACAAAACACATTTCTTTTATTTAGTAATAGATGTAGCTTTTCATTTTCACAGAAATTTGCATGTAGTATATTAATCATAATATTCACTGAAATTACTCAGTCAAAAGTTTACATACCCTGTATGCTGGGCCTGTTAATACACAAATATCTTGAGATCACTGATAAAGCCTTAGTTCTGAGGGAAACCTTATATAATTGTTCTAAATTTGCTTCATGCTAAAAACAAGGAAAGCAAAAATAATGTTATTATTAATGTTAAAAAATATGCAAGAAGGCAATTTAAACACTATAAATTAGGAAAAGCTTATAAAAAGATTTTAAAATACTCTTTAGCACTAAAAGTTTGATAAAGAAGTGGAAAACCAGCGCCTCTGTCGCTACCAACCCAAGATTAGGCAGATCAAAAAGTTTTCTGAGACAACCTCCAGGAAAATAGTGCGAAATAAGAGGAAAAACCCCCAAGCTACTGCAAAACTACCATACAAACGTCTCTGAGACAAAGTAATATGGCTGTCAGAATGTATGATTATGAGATTCTTAAACAGAAATGCTTGCATAGAAGGGCTGAAAGATAAAGCTTCCAGATGTGACAACATCAAAAAACCATCCCCTTGCAACGTGCCAAACATCATCTAGGGGAACCTTGAGACTTATGATGAGCTCTGTTGTTTTTTGGGAGGGGAGATGGCAAGATGAATGCAGCAGATTATCAGACAATCTTAGACAAAAGTTTGCACGCATCAGTCTTGTGCATGGACTGCACTTGGACTTTCCTCACAAGGTCAAGTTGACCCTTCAGTGGCTGCAGCACAAAGTGCTCTGGAGTGGCCCTCACAGTCCCTGGACTTCATCACTCAGCCACTCTGAGGAGAACTCAAATGTGCAGTACATGGAAGGCAACCAAAGAATTTACAGGGCCTGGAAGCTTTTTTGCCAGGAAGAGTGAGCAGCTTTTCCACCCGAGAAAATGAAAGCGCTCTTTCACATCTATGACAAAAGGCTGCAAGATGTCACTGATGCTCCGAGGGTAACACACAACATTAAGTTGTTAACAAGGGTGTAAACTTCTGACTGGGTCATTTCAGATGTTATTCTGGTTAATATAATACATGCACATTTCTGTGGTGACATAGTTCTATTTGAGTAGTGTTACTAAATAAAAGAAATGTGTCTGGTATGATCGCTCATCTTCCAAGACTGAAAAAAATATCCCTGCAGACTGTTGGCGCTGTGATAAAGACAAAAGACTGACACACTAAATACTAAAAAAAGTGCTATTATATTCAGTTTTATAGGCATCTGTGTAATTTTATCTTAACTATACACTGATCAGGTATAACATTATGATCACCTCCTTGTTTTTAACGCTCATTGTCCACTTTATCAGCCCCACTTACTATATAGGTGCACTTTGTAGTTCTACAGTTACAGACTGTAGTCCATCTGTTTCTCTGCATACTTTGTTAGCCCCCTTTTACCCTGTTCTTCAGTGGTCAGGACCCCCATGGACCCTCACAGAGCAGGTACTATTTGGGTGGTGGATCATTCTCAGCACTGCAGTAACACTGATGTGGTGGTGGTGTGTTAGTGTGTGTTGTGCTGGTCTGAGTGGATCAGACACAGCAGTGCTGCTGGAGTTTTTTAACACTGTGTCCACTCACTGTCCACTCTATTAGACACTCCTACCTTGTCAGTCCACCTTGTAGATGTAAAGTCAGAGACGATAGCTCATCTGCTGCTGCACAGTTTGTGTTGGTCATCCTCTAGTTCTTCATCAGTGGTCACAGGACGCTGTTGGCTGGATATTTTTGGTTGGTGGACTATTCTCAGTCCAGCAGTGACACTGAGGTGTTTAAAAACTCCAGCAGCACTGCTGTGTCTGATCCACTCAGACCAGCACAACACACACTAACACACCACAACCACATCAGTGTTACTGCTGAGAATGATCCACCACCCAAATAGTACCTGCTCTCTGAGGGTCCATGGGGGTCCTGACCACTGAAGAACAGGGTAAAAGGGGGCTAACAAAGTATGCAGAGAAACAGATGGACTACAGTCTGTAACTGTAGAACTACAAAGTGCACCTATATAGTAAGTGGAGCTGATAAAATGGACAATGAGCGTAGAAACAAGGAGGTGGTCATAATGTTATGCCTGATCGGTGTATGTTATCTGCTTTTTCCCCTGATGCGGGAAAATGAATAAAAAATAATTTATGGCCACTTTCACTGGAAATTAAATAAATGAAAGGTGGTCTGACTTCTGCACAGTACTGTGTGACTGTGTATATCCATCCCTTAAAGATTGATACTATGCACACATGAATATTTTCAAAAACTAAGACTTGGTGATATTAAACTGTTAACAATTGCACATTTACCCTAAAATTACAGCTTAAGTACAGTATCTGCTGAAAGTCTTTGTAACCTCTGGCTGCTCTACTATCACACAATTCAATTATTACTATGAGTAGTATGGAAATTGCTATAATGGCGGTGATGGGTTTACTGGCTCCATGGAGCAGTCAGCAATGAGTTCAGCATTTTTGTAGTCACAAAGGAATGAAAGCATTATGTAACTTGCATATGAAACCCAGTGGGTGCTCAAAGTAACTGGCTGCCATCCCATAGCCCACATAAGGGGGATCCATCAGAAAAATGCGGATGAGATCTAGGTAACCCTTTTTTTTACAGGTCATTTATGAAGTTATTTAGCTTAAGAGAATGTAAATGGCTTAGGGGAACAATGGCGCAAGTTAATGTTGGAATAACATTTCTGTTTGTGATAAGGGGAGGAAGATAAGCGGAGTATGTGTGACTGTTTGTTCACCCCTTCCCTCCTCGTCTCCTGCATCTGCACAACTCCCAGCTGGAACCCTGATGGCGATATCCATTCTAAGAATGCCATCATTAATAGTCACTAATCTCTTGCTCCAGATGTGCGAGTATGTGTGCGAGTTTTAATCACAGCCTGCCATGAAGCTCTTCTACTGTGGAGTACTTGTTAGAGTCACCTTCTCGGTCTCCAGCGTCTTGTTTTCGAAGATGAAGCCAATACAGCTCCGCACCACCTCCAGGCGCCGGGCACTGTTGAACACTGAGCTAGCCTTCCCTGTGATGGACACTGAAATGAAGAGATAGAACATATTAGCTATTAAACATTCAAAGGTAAGACAATTCTTTTCCAATCATACATTTCCATTCAAATGTTGAAGGAACAGTTCATAAAAAAGTCACATTTAAGCAATTTTTCACAATTTACCTCATCCAAGATGTAGTCAGTCAGTTAAGACTCGCTTGGTGTCTAAAGTTTTCTTCTTTAGTTTTTCAATAGCACTATGAGGCTAATGTAGCTAACAAATAATTAAAACTTATGTATACCTATTACTGCAAAAAGGCCCTGACACACCATATTACAAGAAAGAATTAGTGCCAATCAAGGCTGTCTGATGACCACCTGCTATCACCTCACATCACATCATGTCTTTTGTGAAAAGCTGTCTTTGAACACAGTCAAGACTACAAAAACTACAGATAACTTCATGAAAGGAAGTAATTCTCTATACCATGAGGTGGCATAACAACAACAACAACAACAACAACAACAACAATAATAATAATAATAATAACAATAATAATAATAATAATAAAACCAGAAAGAAGTGATGACTGAACTCAGCTACAGGCTAAGACATTTCATCAATCCACCAGTAACATTGAGGCTTTACGTTAAAATTTTTACTCAAGGCTTCACTCTGAAACTGCATATAACATACAAAGTGTCCCCTGTCCCTTTTGTCTCAAAGTTAACAAGCATAAATATTCTTAATATGCTGCCGTGCAAAAAATGTAAGACTATCCCTGGAGGATTAACAAAAGGGCATTTAAAGCACCAGCCCGTTTGCACATTACTGCAGTTCCTCACGCCAAGACCTTTTTGCTTGATGCTTTCAGTATGCATCATACAGCAGCTCCAGCGTATCTGTCCAGCTTTAAAATACAAGTAACATTTGTATAAATATCAGGAGACTGTAAGATACATTGCTCTTTTTTGTTAGCTATGGCAACAAAGAGATGTCATTATGAAATATTTACACTGTACACAGTCGAGTCACATTATGACCATGTCCTACTTTTGACGGCGGCAGCGCGTAGCTCATGAAGGAAATCCCGTGTCGTGAGCTGGCTTGGTGGGTATATAAGGTGTGCGATAGGCTGTCTGCACACATATCCCTCAATGCTGTCGTGGGTAAAAGGGGCGATTTATCAGACTTGTAAAAAAGGGATGATTACTGGCTTTCGGGCCAGTATTTCTGAAACTGTGCAGTTTGTGAACTGGTCGCGTGCTGCTGTGGTGAAAGTGAGTGGACAAATGGCAGCATTGCGAGCAAGCGATGTGGAAACCGCGGAGCACCACGTGCCACTGATGTGAGAGGTGAATGTCAGCTACGAAGGTGCGCGAGGGCGGACCGACATGCTACAGTGGAGCAGCTCACCACCAAAATGAACCGGGGGCTACCAGACGTGTGTCTAGAACTACAGTTCCGCTAACCCCAATGCGTACGGGGCTCCGAAGCAGACAGATGGTCACCGCACCTCTGCTAATGAAGTTGCATTGGCAGGAAAGGCTTCAATTTTCATGGCATTATCGTAATTGGACCTCCGATGATTGGCAAAGAGTTGCCTTCTCCGATGAGTCACGTTTTCTGCTTCATCGAACGGATAGCCGTTGGCATGTCAGGTGAGAAACATCAGAGAACAAACATCCTGCAACCATTGCTGGAAGAACATAAGCTGGTGGTGGCAGCGTTATGGTCTGGGGAATGTTTTCATGTGGAAGTCACTCTCAACCGATTTGGGTATGAATCCATCCTTGCAGATCACGTACACCCATACACGCTGACTGTCTTCCCTTGGACGGATGGGATCTTCCAGCAAGACAATGCAACATCACACAGCTAGAAACGTCCGACACTGGTTGGAAGAGCATGACTAAGACTTCCAAGTACAACCCTGGCCTCCTAATTCCCCAGACTTTAACCCTACTGAGCATCTGTGGAGCCACCTCGATCGTCGTGTTCGCTCTATGGATCCTCCCCCACGCCCCCTCCAGCAGCTGTGGGATGCATTGCAGTCAGCATGGCTCCAGATACCTGTGACAAACTACCAGGACCTTACTGAGTCACTCCCAGCCAGTCTATCTGCTGTCCGTGCTGCACATGACGGTTACTCTGGATATTAGCTGGTGGTCATAATAATGTGACTCAACTGTGTAAAAGCATTGTAGTTTGAAAGTAATATCAAGATAACATGCTTTGAGAGTCGTGGGTTTTTTGTAAACTGATGATGATTCACGGCATTTAAAGTCAGCATTAAAACTTAACACTTTATATTAGTGTTATGTAAGTTTGGCCTAAGCTTTCTAGGCTAGCTAACAGCTACATTTTATTTTTATAATTCAAATGAGATATATAATATAATGACCATATGTTAATCATTTTTATTTGATATAATAATTTTTATCTAGAGATTTATTTCATTTTCCAAAAAAACATCAATAATTTTTGAGTGCTGTGGCCCCCACAAAACCCCTGCTTTACAGGGTTACGAGCTGAATTAACCCAAGAAAAGAGCTCTTCCTAGCCGCTGACACTGATTCAACATGCTTAGTCGGCCAAAAGCGCTGACTATGGCTAACTAGGACTGATGGTGCAGGCCGTGCCACAGAAACTACTGGCAGCAGATGGCTACAGATACTAAATGACAGCCTGACAACAGCTTACGAAGTTTCAGGGCCCTAAATTACCATAAATTTGGCTTAAACTGGATCAAGTTGTTTAGCAACCTCAAACAGACGTGGATATATGGTTTCTGACACTTTGTGACACACCGTTATTCATAAATGGACAAAATTTAAGGCTCAAAATGGCTACAAGTACTGTTTTTTTTTACCTTTGTAACATACTTTTGTTTATTTTACAGCAGTGTACAATATTGCTTTGTCACCACATCATTCCTTTAATCAAATTTATTAAGCAGTACTCACCCACAGGAGGACCGGCGGGCACCACACACTTCCTTTCAGGCCGGGCACTGATGTTAGTGTGGTTCTGCTTGGCCAGGCCCTCTTGCATGAGATCTTCCACCTTGTCCTCTTCCAGCAGGGGGAAGGGCACCACATGCACTCGCAGGTGAGAGCCCTCGCTGGGCCGAGGCACTTTTTGGAAGGCCATGTGGGGATTAGGGTTTTCCTATAAAGCCAGAGCAGAAACACAGTAACTGAAGCTGTGGTTTAGTTAGGTATTCAGCACTCCCTGGAATTGGCTGACATGAACACAGCACTGATTCGACAAGCTCTGAAAATTTTCTTCATTAATCACTGAGCGTATTAACAGTTCCTCCTGGGCTAAGCTACTCCACAGAAGCCTAAAACATCAATAAACAAGCCCTTAGTCCTAACTGAAATGTCCATTTGGAGAACATCAATGGTTAAATATTTGGCAGAACAGCAGTACTTAATCAAGACAGTGCAAGCAGAGCACAGAAAGACAAAACAGTTCTGAGACGTGTTTAAAAGGACAGCCAGATGGACCAAGGAGATGTGGAGCATGGCAGTCTTTCAGCAGCCTGAAAGCACAGGCGCTGGTTCAGAAGATGAGGCTGAGTGGGCTCACGTTTCGATAAAGCTGCTCAGAGAGTTCCCTCATGTGCTTCTGCAACTTGTTTGGGTTCTCTTCTTCCTCCTTAAAGCGCTCCACATCGAAGGCCACCAGCTACAGAAAGAATCGTACAAACATGTCAGACTCTGTCTGCGCAGAAACAGCATTTGACGGATTAATGAATCAGCATTTAAAGTCTTGGGTGAGGAATCTACTTAGCAGAGTCAAGCACCCAGGACAAAAACAGTGGAATTTTACTGAGCCAAGCTGAGTCACATGATGACCAAGCTCATATTATTCAGCTGTGCTGTAAACTGTTATTTTGGTGAGAGACAAAGCCTGGTATACCGCACCTCATCGAAAAGATCACAAGCTCTGTAAGGAGGCCCTCTCTCTGACACAAAGCCGGCGAAGGCCATGCCATCCAGCACCTTGGGCAGAAAGTCATTTTCGATCAGGCCACGCTGACCCAGGAAGGCAGCCTGCAAAACAAAACAAAGACGTCAGGAGGGCATGACTAGCTTAATCGATGAGTCACAGTTTTTCACAGTCTCCAGTAAAATCCCCAATGTAAGAGCAAAGCCTTTTCGTAAAGGAATAAAGTGCCACGTGATTCAAGTGATAGAGAATGACTTATCTAAACTAGACTATCACCAAACAAACAATGTGAACGGCAGCTTAATCAGCCGCTGTTTATGTGGATAAAAATGATTAGCTGACGTTCTAGTATAAACGGATGACTGCAGCAAGGATGACAATAGTGACTGGGGAATGAGATGGATAAGGGGAAATGCTGGGCCTCTGAGCTGGGCTGGCACATGGAGATGCTATGAGTTATTGGGGAGACGTGCAGCATTCCTCAGCCATAATCTGACCCATGTGGGGTGCTCTAAGAAGGATGTGTGGAGAGGTTGCTGTGGAAACAGCCTCCCACACAAACAAAAACAACGGGGGGCGGGAGTAACACATAAGCACATACCCACACTCGCACACACAAATGTAATTTTGATTCTTTGCATGTGGCTCATCACTTTGCACAGTCCATAGTGCAAGGACAGAGAAGTTTTAAACAAACAGGGAAAGATATCATCAGCACAAATGCTTTCAGCCAAGCACTTCAAAGCATAAGGCTCCTGAAATAAAGCATGGCTCCTTGCTTATCTCCTGGTTCAACAAGATTATCCCCCCCTCATACTCTGGCCACGGGCCCAAACCACTTGGTTTATGAAAAGGCAGGTATTTGTACAAGTGCAAGCAGCTTTTGTTTAGAGGTAGGATTAACAAAACTACTGCCTCAAGCCACTTCGAACAGATTGTGCTGCAAAATAAGGCTCGCGCAGGATATGACTTCCAGATCTAGTCAAAAACACAAAATGCGCCACTTGCATAAGGAAGGGGAAAGACAAAGGAAAATAAATGAAAATATTATAGTTTTCAAAACTGGAGTTCAAAAAAATTTATTAAAAGCTACAGAAAAGCAATGGGACTCCTAATCACCACCTGGAAGACCTGACAGACCAGCAAAACTGCCCCCATCAGATAAACAGCACTTAAGGCTTTCATCTTTGAGAGAGAGGAGAAAATCAAGCTGCTTCAGATCTGAAAACATCCACAGGTGTTTCTGTCCATCCTTCCACTGTGAGGAGACGACTCAGCGCTATGGGTCTGAAGGGATGTGTAGCTGTCAAGAAGCTGTTACTGAGAAAGGGAAATAGACAATAAAGGGAAAAAAAACAAACAAACTAACAAACAAAGAAGCTGCTGGTGTTCTTAAAAAGAATGGACTGACCAATCCAGAGTCCAGACCTCAGCATCACTGAATGTGTTTGGATTACTTGGATCATGAAAAGCAGTAAATGCAAACAACTTCTAAGACTGAACTTTGGAGGAAAAATATATCTTTGATGTATTTCTTGGAAAAACTGAAAGCAAGTCTCCTAAAACGAATCAAAGATGTGATAAAGGCAAAAGCTGGACACACTAAACACTGAAAAATGTTTTATTATGTTATATTTAGTCGCTGTGGCTTCTGTGTAATTTTCTCTTACAAATGTTTTCTGCTTTTTTCTCCCCTGACGCTTGTTCTTAACTGCTGTTTTGACTGGAAATTAAATAAATATAAGGAGGTCTCCCTTTGCAGAGTATCATACATATGAAAGTCAGAGACCAACAAGGATGTGGCACATTCACAAATGAACATATGAAATTCATCACATGCCAGTGAGCACTAGCAAGTCTAGACTGGTTTAAAGAGGACAGGGTTACAGTAATCATTCACCCGTGAATGACCCTAGCCCCCTGACCCCTTTCATACATGCAGAGGTTAATAGCAGGGTGTTCCGGCTTGACGTGCTGTCTCTCTCACCTTGTGAAAGTGAATCACGGGTTCGGGATGGATTCGAATGAGCTGCAGACAGGACCTGTAGCCCTGGAACAGTTGTGCAAACAAGCGCAGGAAGACGGCCCTCACCTCCTTATCCTGGCAAACCGAGAAAGAGAGAGAGAGAAAGAAAGAGACAGATGGAAAGATGGACAAGCAGCGTCAGATAAATGCGTCAGGCTGGCATGAAACGGCGAGAAGGTGAACATTCCATGCTCCGAAATAGAGCTGTACACGAGGGAGGCAAAACTCCTAACTTGCTAACACATTTTTCAGCCCCCTGCGGAACAGATAAGAGATGACTCCTGCATCTGCTGTATCAGACCAGCTGCTCGTCTTGCAGTTTCTGCTGATTGCCCTGCAAGACTATTACGGGAAAAAACACTCCGAGAGGTCAGCGGGGCAGTCCTGGTTTATTCCTGAAGCTCTTACCAGCAGCTTGAGGTTGGACGGAGCGGAGCGCGGGGGAGGGAAGGCATTATCTGCTATCTCAAGATCTGGATGCAGAACCTGGAAGATAAGAAAAAATATCCTGTTCAGTTGATACATTAAGAGCTATTACAGAATGTGACCTGATCGCTTCCACTGAAAATAAGTGACTATTCTGGCACTGTGAGTCATTCAACTCCTCACATTACGGCCAGACAGAAAATTCTGATGACTTAATACAAATGCGAATTTATGGTATGTCAAAGAGATTCAGTCAAATTCAGTGGTCAGCTGGTAAACACTTTTTGAGAGCAAATGCATGTGTATGTTAAAGCAGAAGCACTCAAACTTGTTTTTGGGGGGCCAAAGTGACAAAAACAAAATGTTTTGGTGGTCCAAGAGCCAAAAAAGACAAATTATAGAAATAAAGAAGCTAGGTAGGTTTCAAATTAAAATGACCATTTTATAACATTACACTATATTTTGCTGCCAAACAAACAAACAAATAAAGGAAAAACATGGCATAAGTTCTAGTGACTAGGTGAACTTTCTGATGAGCTAAATCAAACATCCACTTTTGCCAACTTTGGGCAGCCCTGATCTAAAGGGTACTTACCATAGACAGAGTGGTCTGAGTGTTGTGTAACAGAGGCTCAGGTAGCTGAGACAGGTGGATACACTCTGGAATTTTTATCGTTCCTCCATCTAGGTCCGCAATGATCACATCAAGCTGAGAACAGACCCCAAAAAAGCTCATCAGAGACTCTGCTGCTTGGCTGGCTTTGCTTCTACAACTTAGCGCTGACCATTATGTGCAAAGTAGCCAAGAAAGCAAAACGCTTTTCTGTGGAAATCTAAACTCACCAGTTCATGAATCTCGCTCTGGAACATGGAGTGCACGCCGATGATGAAGGGAGTGGGTGAGCTCAGCACCTCGAGCAGCCGAGACGGGAGGATTGGAATGTAAGGATAGCTGCGGATTCAAAAATCAGGGAGAAAGACGTTACTATCGCCTCTTGTCAGCAACGTTTACGTTCTATTGCAAAACTGTCACAAGGATCTAAAAATAGTTATACCTAAAATACGCTCACGAAACTGCTGGTAGGCAGGAGATTCATGCCAATTTGAATTGCATTACATCACTTTTAAATGCATTCTGAAGGCTTATCTTTTTTAATTGAGCGACCTCCTTCAACAGTCATGGATACGTGCATAACTCTGTGCTCTATTTATATCCTGTATTGCACTCTCTCTCTGCATACTTAAGCAATAGAACATGAGAGGGAGTGTGTTATCGCAAAATAACATCACGGCTGTGATTTGGTCGCAGATCATCACAGCTGTGATGTTATTCGTGATAACACACTCCTCGAGTGTTCTATCGCTTTTATACAACAGTTAAATAAATAAAGTAATAAATTAATAAACTGGGCCGTGAACGCGGCGTTTAGTATGTTTTAATGTTCGCAGTTCCTTCACCAAATTATAGTTCCTTAACAAGAAGCTCGTTGCTACGTCAGAGTAACGAGCTCCGCCCACTCGCTGCACAGCCGGCAGTTCATTTTCCAGCTCCACACAGACCAACTGACCGTTTGGGAATTTAGTGTCGTCTCATCTTCAGAGTCTGACCAAATCGGCTGTCGGTCAAATGTAATCTTAAAAGTGTCCATTTTCTGTTTGTGGCAAAGTTAGAAGTAAAATCGTTCAAATGGCTTGATCGTCTCCTACAGCCGTCAAAGTCGTTGCTTAGCAACGGCGTCTCAGCGGAGTGATACTGTGTTTGTGGAAAACCTGTGATGTTATGGCGAAATAACCGCACGGTCAGAACGCTTCTCAACCAATCAGCTTGCGTGGCTGGAACTAACTGTTGTATAAATATACATACATACCTGTATTTGAGAGGAAACATCATGGCATCTAAGGCTCGGCAGGCCTCTCCAAGTCTCTGGTAGCTCGTGGAATGGAACAAAACCTTGTGTTCTGTCAGAACTGCACAAAAAAGACTCAGAACATTCTGGATCCCTGGAACGCATAGAAGAAACAGAAAATGTTGTTAATCATGTTTTAGAACTTGCTATTAATTAAAAACACACTGTTGAGATTTACAAATGGGTGAAGTGGTAATCTGCTAGAGTGTAGTTAAAATGGTGACTACTTCAGTTTCTATTTCCAGACCATGAAACAGTCACAAAAACAACCAAAACAAAGACCAAATGTCCAGCATAATGTGAAACAGACAATTTAAACCAGGCGTTAAAGCATGGTTTACAGGAAAAACGGAACAATTTCATGCCACATAGACTGCAATCACAGCACGCCACATTCCACATAAGACATCCTTCTATCTCAAACAGGATAATGAAAATATGTCTACGGGATAAAACAGGATCTCACATCCTTTTCAATGATGTAAATCAAATGACATACCAAATCGGCAGACGAGGGGGGGAAAATGGTTTACAGTTCCTGTTATTGTTTGCTATCAACATACCACTGAGACCATTAATCACAGGTCTGAGAAAGATAGAGAGAGCCAAACAGTGACAGAGGCATCCGCACAACTGCCCAGGGTCAGCGGTTCAGCTATGCCTGTGTCAAGCTTTGACCCTCACCAACAAACAGGAACAAGATATGAAAATGAAGTGTCTGTGCTACTGCCCAAAGACCTGAACTTGAAGACAAGCCAGGAAATGATGAAGAGCTTGGGAATTTGAAGTCACTTTAGCTGTTCCATGCAGCCACATTTAAATGTCATTGGTGACTTGCTTCCTGGGATGCACACCTACCATAGACTATATTACTATCCAGGAACAGCTGTTAATTAACCTCTTCAACTCCTTGAGACCACCGGTGGTTCCAAAACGCACTTCGTCATATTCTTCATAACTTTCATATTTCATAAGCTACATTCAGAAGGTGGGGGTCGTATGAGAGCTGTAACTGTCTTCTTTCCAGTAAAATAGATGGGTGATGTAATTTTAAACCCTTATAATAAAAGAAGCTGAACTCAAATTTGTTTTGTCTACTGAAAGTCGACCCATTTTTCCACAAATCTAAAAAATTATTATTTTCAGTATATTACTTCAGTAATTACTTTTATAAAATAATGCAAAGAGCATCTAAGATTTTTGGCTTTCAGCAGTAAATGGTAAACATAAAGCAATATGTGTGATCATAAAACAGATGTTTTGTTAATTTGAGGGGAGCTTTTACAAAAAAAATAAATAAATAAATAAAATAACTTATTAAATTTACATTTATTTCATGCAGTTACTGAACAATTTGCTTAAGGATTTGGTCATGTAAATTCAGAAGGACAAACCAAAATATACCCTGGAGAATAAGAGGTTAATGAGTTTTTAAAAGAGGAATGCAATATTTGAGATCTACGATTCTCCCCAACTTCATGTTTATCGCCTTATTTTGTGTCCTTGGCCTCTCCTGGAATAAACGGTTCATTGCATCAGCTAAACTGAAAACAACAGGTTTCACAATCTAAGAGATATCCAGCCACACACACTCATTTGCTCTCTGACCTTGAGGTGTTTACTTATCAGCTGGAAACAGCGGTCCATTTCCGACCCTAAATAACAGCAAACTGGCTCGGACAAAAGACTACAAACAACAAGCTGAGGGCTGCAGGCGAACTCCTTCCTGTTCTACCAGGCCTCCACTTCCCGTGGAGTGTGACGGGGCTAGGGGGACATTTTTCAGGCCTGACTGCAGTGACTCTTTCTGAGAGGAGTCAAACACGGGGTCTGGTCTTAAAGTGCCTTTCACCCAAGTTTTACTCCCTTCCCTGTGATAAAATCGCAGTAACGCACTGCCTCCAGTGGCTTTTATAAAACACCAGCCAACATAAAATATATTAAAATACATAATGTTTTAGAAAATTATTCAAGTTATTACTAATAATAATCAACATAAACAAGCATTCCACCAAGAAATGTAGTTCCTTTACAGTACGGTATCATTGCTGAGCAACGATTGACCACTGAATAAGGAGAAGAACGTTTGGTCGCCCATCACTGTAAGCTGACATTTCATGGTTTTTAAAACTTTTTTGGTATAACAGTGAACATATGATAACACAGCACTGTTTAATGCAAATACTTTGTAAGTACTTCTTGTTCACCAAATTATCACCACACGTCTTCTGCCAGTCTGATGATGCCACTTTTCTCACGCTGGGGCTGAATCTCAAATGGCTCCCTGCTCCCTACATAGCGCACTACGTAGGAATTTAAATACTGACTCCTGCAGCAAAATATCGCTAAAAATGGTCATTTGGGATTCATCTACATTCATACTCGACAAGCAGTCACTAATTGACAGCAAAAGGTAGAATTTCTAAACTTAACTGTTACACAGCTCACTATTAAGCTAAGGAATATGGAGCTGTTTGGGATTCAGCCTCAGTTTGATGTGACTTCTGACTGAAAGACGGACATTTGAAGCGTGTAAGACATTCAGGTGATGTTCTTTTGACTTTCATATTGCCGTTTTTCAGTGAATCATATCGTGAGTACTTTAATTCAAGCCTTTGATATTAATGTTTAGCATGTTTGCTATCTTTTAGCCTGTTAGCTGGCTGACCAGCCTAGTTCTAGTTAAGAAAATAAGTTTTTAGCCCCTCAGTATGAACAAAAAACAGCTTCTTACTTCATCAGTTCACTCGGTGCTCCGTCTGATCAGCATTAGAGTCAAAGATTAATCATTAACAGCAGAAGGGTTTTGCGTGCCGTGGCGCAGTGATACAGAGTTCAGTTGTTATGAGGCGTCACAGCCGTGGTATATCGTGGATTTTACAATGGCTTTGAACGCGGCTCAGCCAATCAAATTATAGGACCAATACCCACAGTAAAGTACGGAGATGGGAGCATCATGATATGAGGCTGCTTCTATGCAAACAGTACAGGGGCATCACACACCCTTGAAAGAAACATCAATGATGAACTGCGATGAGCGATGAACTGGGATATATTAAAGGAAAATTTAATCTCATTAATAATTTATAATAATAATAATAATTTGTACTTATATAGCACTTTTCATGTCAGTGCCAGCTCAAAGTGCTTTACAGATGGGGGTTTAAATTAAAGTATTAATTTAGAATAATATAAGAAAACGTAGAGACGTAGAGTTTTGATTAAATGCTGAGTTAAAGAGAGACATTTTTAAATGCTTCTTAAAAGTGAGTGCTGAGCTTGACTGACTAGTAAGAAGTGGAATTGAGTTCCACAGTTTAGAAGCAGAACAACTGAACGAGGCCTTAGCCAAGAATGAGGCTGTAAAACTGTAAAAGCTAATTACTTCTTACCGTAGACATTGGGAAGCTGTATTGCCAACAACCCAACCATTTTTTTTTACATTTGTAAATACAAGGTTAAAAGACATTATGCATATTTAAAGTGGATATACACTGTCTGAATACTTGTTTCTCCTCACTCTACCTGCATGAGACCCAGTACAATACTTGAGAAATGACCAGTGTGGCTTGTGTAAACAGAAGCTAAAACACTACCGGGAAATACAATACAAAGACGTCTAGATTACAACCGGTAAAGCTGAATGTCCCTGAATTTTTTGTTTAGTTTTGTGAGCGAAAATATCATGGGTTTGTATTGTGGACTTGCTTCTGGAGAGAAGCAGCAAAAATCTACCTTGCATGCACGCATGGCTGCTTCCGTACAAAACACGAGCAAAGCAGAAGACTGAAATGAAGGAAAAATGAATGAGCTCTTGGCTATTCATCCTAAGAACCTCCTGTTTACTGGAATTTCCATGACACGTAGGATCACGAGCATCCTGGTCAAATATGCAAACGTTACCAGTAAGAGTCCCAGTAATGTCCCAGGTTTTGAGTGAGGAAGAGGCATAAGTGACCAACTGCCCCAGGGCAACAACACAGCCGCAGGGGCCGTAGGCAATCGACCCACGCAATGATGGGTCAGTATTGGCTGTATTAAGCCTGATCAAATTCTCATCCTTTCTTGAGGCTGTTTTACCCGATTGCACTTTCATGCCACTAACGCGAAAATGTGACACAAATGGACAGCCTAGTATATCTAAACGGGTTTGGCTGACATTTTATGTCTTTCAGGTGCACCAGTTGTATAAGCAAACACTTAATATTAACTAACTACCCGACAAAGCTCTGATCTGTTATGAAATGTGCAGGGAAAAATACGGCCTGGCTTTGAACCAATTCGAGGAGCCGGACAGCATGCCGATAAGGATGATTCACAGTGAAAGAACAACTCCAAATGGGGTTGAGCATAAATTAATGAGCAGTGTAACCGACATTTATATGAGCTAATGTGGTGCAGACTGCTGCTGGGCCATTAAAGACATTTGTCTCCAGTTTTCCGTCATTTTGAATCAGCTAAACATTTTCTCGCAGATTTGCGTTTCATTGGTACTGAGAGGGTTTTGATGTAAAGAATAAGTGGAGATTATTACAGAGGGAGGTTTGGTTCCTAATGGTATGAATGGGGATCTTAATCTCAATTGTTTTCTGTAAGCCTGTTTTCTATAAAGACTGCTTTTGATTAATGCATTATTTTGAAATAGTCTCTGTTGTTTTGATGTATTTGAGTACATTCCCTTGTTGGTGTACTGTCACTTTAAGAAAACCCTAGCAGAACCCAAACAGGTGTGGTTAATCTGTTGGTGTCTGGTTTTTGTTCTCCTTTTAATGGAATAAAAATGTATTTTTGCTAGACTTGTCTGGTTCATCAACAGTGTGTGTGCAGTACTTTTTCTATTCCATTAAACACACAAATCGCACAGTACACAACGACAACGACACCAAGCAACACAAGCTTTGTAGTTGTGTAGCAAGAACGCAAGATGAGAACCCAGTGGCATTGTTCCCCAATTATGCATAAAACTGGGTCCTTGGATTTTCATTATCTTGCTGGTGATCTCCTCGATTCTGACAGTTTCACGACTGAGCAAGCAAAAAGAAGGTAATGACGAACTTGACAAGCTTCCAGACACTGGTTTGTTTCGCCACAACTCTTATGACCAGAAGGCCACAAAGTTCAACCTTAACTCAGCCTTTTCAAAAATTATTAAGCAACTTAATGGTTTCTGGAAGACAGTCTAAAAGAGTTGTGTCAGATGAAGAACTGGAGAAAACCGCAAAGCTCACAGAGAAAGGGCTGTGTGACATGGAAAAGAAGCGGAAAAGGACTGCTTAACTTCCAGGGTTAGCAGGCTTAAGTAAATCATTTGACGATATTGTTTTGTGAGCGCACCATTAATCTCCGACTAACATAAATCCACAAAAAAGTACAATTTTATGAAACGCTGCACAATAACTAGTCTATAACAAAGTTGAATAGTTCAAGTGGATCTGTGCCAAAAAAAGTCCCTGTGAACTACATTCTCAAGCATTCCCACTTCAGATTACAAGGGTTTTTGATTTTAAGTGGTCAACAAAACTTTGCAGTATAGTGCCCTGCAAAGTATAACTTGGGCATCAGCTAGACTGAAAACATGATAGAAATCAGACTTCTTGAAGAAAATACATCAAACATTTCTCAGAAACTTTGCTCAACCTCCATCTGCCTTAGTCTTGGGTTGACAACTGATATTATTGCATGTTACGATAATTTAAATATAACAATTTAAATATAATAACATTTTAAAAAGTACAATTGTTATGCAAATTATTAAACATTCTTTTGTTCGCTTTCACATCCTCAATTCCCAATAAATAGTTTAAAAATGCATACAATAAAAAAGATCATTAAAGGCTTCACAAACATAACATCACCATAAACAACATCATATACTTAAGCTGTAATGTTTTGCTGATCTTCTAAGTGAGTATCAGTCAACATATAATCTACAGCAGAGGTCACTATAGGCGGTCCGCGGTCCGGGTTCGGACCCAGACGCTGTCCTATGCAGACCTGGACCTTTAACCAATAAACGATAGAGAATTAATTAATTTCAACTGGGTGGTCCCATTTTAATCGACGTAACATTTCTAGCCATTACGGTAGCTTTAGCGGCCCGGGAGACTCACAGACCAATCGCATGCGTTGTAAATATCACACGTGATGCTACTCAGCCAATCAGATCTGTGCATTACAACGAGCACTGAGACTCAAGTGAGTGACGTACACACAGGGGAGGGACGAGGTGAGAAACAACAGTCAGAGAAGAAAGTGAGTCAGAGGGAGGTTATTTTACATGGTGTGATCTAAAAAGCGAAAACTGACTAAACTGACTAAAAATATTACTGAATTGTATTTTATTTGATTTGACATTGTGTTGTTGACTGCAAAAGATGTTGATATACCTACTAGGCTACTTCAGTATAGAGTATATGACACTGAATCAAATGCAAGTTAGACATTATGATGTTCTGGACCTTTGCTTGAGGAAATTTTCTCTAAGTGGACCTTGTATAATTTTAATTAAAGACCCCTGATCTACAGGAAACAAATAAATATGATATTTTGCTATAATTATGCACAGGCCACATTTTATGCTGTTTTCATTTTTTCCAATACTGTAAATTCAGCGAACAATTAGCAGTTGTGCATTCAAATATGCAGATGTGTGTTCTCTGTAGAGAATGTGTGTCAACTTATTTTTGAATCACACAATAAACAAAACATGGAATTTGACAAAGGGTGGCCAAACGTTTGCATACGACTGAACATAAACGAAATAAACTCCGGTACATGAGATCTACCACCTGGTAAAGAGTAAATTTGCTATCGGCAATATTGTGGACGGCAAAAGACAGTAATTATACAGTGACAACATCATCGTCGAGGAAAATACAAGCCAAACTTTAAGGCTTTGTGATGCTCACATGCGGTACCTAGTAAGTAAATCTGGATAATGACAGTATTGTTTATCGTAATAATTCTGCAGACGATAATTATTCAAAATCGACCCTGTCCAAGCTTACTGTACTTAATGCTGCTGCCTTGGCTATTTATCCTTCCCTGTCGTGCAACCTCAACGGCTCTTTGAACTCCTTCACCTCTCCTCATTAAACAAGCAGAGGTTCGGAGAGATACTGAGAAAGTCCACCTTGCTTTTTTTTCCACTTCACAACAATGAAATCTTGCCACGTAGAGCACGTAGCCACGTTCTGATGTCCAAGCGAGAGAACAACAAAATTTGAAATGCTTGTGGAAAACCCTGGAATTCACATTAAGAATTCAGACATATGAGGCTAATCACTGCCGGTGCCTCATGTTCAATATCTGCGTAACATGTGGTCCATTCGTTTTTTGAAACGTACACTTTAGACGACTGACATAAGCCACGGCTCAGGAGAGAAGGTCAATGTGCAGATAATTCGTCCATTAGACTGACTCTTTACATAGCTGTAATGCTATACAGATACGTTTATAAGCAATGTAAGTGCAGAAGTATGCGTGTTTGCGCTGCTCTGTTTGGGATTTGGGAGCATGCTAACTATTAGAACATTCCTCAGGAGGTCACTATCTATTGCTTTCACGCAACACTACTCTTTCAGCAATAAGCAAATTACTTTCATCTCAATAAATAAGGGCATTTTTTCCCCCACTGTTCGGAATGTGCTCAAGAGAATGTACAAAATGCACCGCGTATACTTTCACAATCATTCGTCAGCTCAGACATTGTGAAATGACCCCCTTACAGGTTTACTACACCATAAAAGCAAGTTGATCAAAGAATTCCACTTCACTAAGGGCCAAAAAGTAAATATTGGTTTATTCTCTTCAGTCTTCACCTTCAACTATTTACTGTCTGTGTACTCTACAGAATTAGCACTGAGAGTTTTCACATGACTCCTGATCTATACAGATGGGAATGTGATGTCAGAAAAGCCACATCATGTGCTGCATATGCCAGGAAATGGACACAGCAAGCAAGCAATCTTTTTGCAATCCCATTTCTTTAAAGGACTTTTAAATATTCACACAGTTAATATTAATGATTATGGTCTATTAAGTTTCAAAGGCAGATGGCAACATTATTTCATAACCACATGATCCAAATACAGGGTGTCCCAAAAACACTGACATCATTTCGTAGTCTAATAAAGTAGCCAATTCTCCCTCAAATGATCTTAAATTTTAGCAACAAACTAACCAAGATTAATTTTTAATGCGTTTTTTTTTCAGGTTGAAGAATGGCTTTTACTAGAAATGAAAAGGCATTTTGTGTGTTAGAATGTGCTCGAACACAGTCAAACAAGAGTGTGCAGAGTGCATTCTCGAGAAAATTCAATAAAAATGCACCAACTGGAAAGCAGATTTGGACACGGCACAAAAAATTCGAAGAGGAAGGCTGTCTGTGCAGCGCAAAGGGATCTGGACGACCACCAGTATGAGAAGATATTACATTTGTGAAGCTCTGAAATCGGTTATAAAATCTATATCCCTCTGAATTTCTTGTTCGAATTTTGATAAATAAATTGTATTGTTCAACATGAAGCCTATTTAATTTCGTTTGCCTACGACATGTAGTTACTCAGACATTCACATCTCAAATGATGTCCATTTTTTTGGGACACCCTGTATTATGGCATGTCCTGTAAGAGGTACATATAAGGCAAAGTTTATCCTGAAAATGCTTGATATAAGCATTAATACAAACTTTATTAGGCACTGATTAAAAGCAACTTGAATAATGTGATTAAAAAGGATACAGTTACCAAGCAAACACAAACATATTAAACTTCCAAGACATGTTCGCAACCCAGGTGGGTTGAGCTGAATTAAAGGGGAAATCCACTGATTTTGCAAGACCTCCACACAGCTAAACCATTAAGATGTCATTCAAAGTGGTCTGAGGTGAAATGCTCTGTTTCAGAGAAACTTGCCGAGTCAGAATTACTCCCAGTGGTGGTGATAGGAACCAAACACCTGAACAGATTTAATGCCTCTGAAAGCTCCGTCAGAGGAAGTTATTCAATGAAATGGTTACAAATATGCTGACCAGACATTAGGATAGTTTTGAGATAAACCAAAAACGTAAAATGTATTTTAAGTCCATTCTTGCAGGAAAGGTACATGCAGAGTGTGGTGAGGCCAGATTTACCCCTATTTCACCATTTTCAACACTTCACATTTTCAATCAATTAAAAACTCGTGAGTTTAGGTTTACTGGTTGTATTGCATCGTACATAAAATGGCTCTATTTTTGCTGTACACATCAGGGCACATCAGATTCTTACTGCCACCACTGTAAAGAATTCTGAGTTGCTAAAGTTTTCCTACAATTAACCTTTTCACATTAGACCACTCTGATTGATTTTGCTTACACATGGATGACTGAGTTTATTTACACATGAACGACTGAATTACACAGACATTTTGAACAACACGTGGAAGGATGACTAGACATCTTTGTGTAAAGATGGAGGCAACAGTGGTCAACTAATGGGGCCTGTAATTGTGCCTTTTGTAGTGGAACGGATTAAGAAAAAACACCCACCTAGCTGCTGGAAGAGGAGAGACACGCTTTTATTGGTAACAGGCAGGCTGTCGTTTATAGGAGTCTGGATCAGCTGTCGGTCTCCAGCTCCCAGAGAAAAGAGTTTCTGCAAAACAGACACAGAAATAGAAACAGAAATATGGACAAAAACAGTGGCATTAGTTCCAGATCATATTACATATTGTACAAAAAGAAAGGCATAAATGATAAAAACATTAACTCTTCATACTCTATTATAGGCTTATTATTCAGTTATTAACTTTAAGGCTTATTATACAGTAAGTACTATAAACTATTAAGTAAATACTATAAAACCTGTATTATGTAAGATCTGCAGTTGTGATGCGTCAAAATGAAAGTTCTTGGATGAACATAATAAACATAAAAACTACAAGGTAATAAAGAAAAATACTTATTACTGATAATTTCAGTCCTTTCAATTATACACCTGAGTTGACAATAAATACATTTTAAAAAATGCTAATTTAGCTAAAATCAGCCTATTACAGCCTATGAAATGGTTGGCAATCGAAAGCAGTGAATTTGTTTTTAGGTTATAATCTGCATAATGTTAGCACTGTTGTTTCATTTCAAAATGACCAAAAATGAATGGCTACAGATGGCGTATTTTCCTTTTTGCTTTAGGTATTGGGTTTATCAGGGTATCAAACCTGTAGATGGAGAAGGTTTTGGCCTCTTAAAACAAACAAAATGAACAACAATTAACAAGTGCTTGTCTAATGTCCCTGATAGAAACCATGAAACAGCTCAGCATGGCCAGCACTTTCACAGTTGATCTGCTTTCAAACTGTTTGAACTGGTCTTCACTGACCAGTGCAGTAGTACAAAACCAACAAACAGCATTTTTAAATCAATACTTTTCTTTAGCCTTTGTAAAAAAAATTAGTGCTTTGACACTTTACTGTAGACCAGCGGTCTCCAACTGGAGAACTACCTTCCGCCTAACCGCAATTTGCCACCAGCTAACTTCTTCCGAAGTCCCTGATTGGCTGGAACAGATGTGTTGAGTTAAGTAAGGTGCTATGGGAGCTTATTGGATACAGGTTGGAGATAAACCTTGTGGGAAGGTAGCTCTCCAGGATCAGGGCTAGAGACCTATTGACTGTAGCATGTCGTGCGCTAACCCGGGCTCAAGGAGGACGCTGGAGGCTGGGTTCAAGGTTGCAGCAGCCATGTTCTTTATTCACATAAAACAAACACAACACAACCAAACCAAACCTATGCTAAGACTGGCCACTTTTCAGTGGCTTCTAGCTAGACTTTTCAGTCCAACTCTTCACTCGAGCCGAGAGGGAACGAGAGCTTGTTGCTCCGCCTCCCTGTCACCGCCCCTGCGCCGCAGCTCAGCCGCCCAGGTCGAACGTGTGGTGTGGTGAAGCAGCCTTGCTTTGGAACCAGGGGTGGGGCCGAGGCAGCGGAGCAACGAGCTCTCGTTCCCTCTCGGTACTCACTCCTTGCCCTCATGCCTCTTGCGGCAGGCTCCCGCTGTCACTCGTGTCCCTCAGCGGAGCTCGGGCTTTGCACTCCGTCCCCCACCCACTCGCAGCTCTCTCCCTGCCATCCTCACCGGGGTTTGTCACCACTCTGTGTTCGGTCCCCGCCTGCAGGCAGGCTCTCACAGCCAGCATCGGGGCCCAGGGGCGGGCGCACGCCATAGGAATCCTTTGTTTTTTCTGGCCAAAATTGTCTGCTCTTTTCCCCTTTCAGCTGAAAACCGAACGTGTTGCTCAGCAGCCAAAATTTCAGGGCATCCCTCGTATGGAGAGCGAGAAACAGAAGTCTAGACAGTCAACAGGTCCGTAGGGTTTAAGAGGTTAAGACAAAAATTTCGGCAGGATGGTGTCTGATGGTAGTTACCATGGAGTGTGCAGGTGCATCACTCAGACTGGGAAGGATCAGCACAGGCTAACTCTGGATTTTAAGAAGCAGACTAGGCTATGAACCACAGGACTCTCAGATTACATAAGAGGGCTGCAGCTGTGTGCACTAAAGAAACTTCCTTTATGGTCTCAGTCCTGCTTAATTCACCCTCACATCATGCCACTGCCGCTGTCCTGCAACATCACATCTGCCCAACCAAATTAATTTTAGCCAGTCCAGCAGCAGCACACAGCAAACCTCAAATAACAGGTTTATGAAAATAAAACAGGCACGAACGGCAGCTGACTAAAACAGGAAGAAAAGCCCTAGAGTAAGACTCCCTGCTTGTGGCTCAGCGCTGTAAAACGAGGCAAATGTACAGCGTGTAACGGTTCACCCCCTTCATGGTTCAGTTCGGTCTTCAGTTTACGGGTTACGGTTTTGTTTGTATCACGGTCCAGCATGGAAAAACGTAGCCACAAACTTTTAAACCTCAGATTTTGTTTTTGTGTTTTTTGAAGACGGGCAAAACACAAACACAAAGCAGTCTTTTCAAAAAGAAAATGAAAAATCACTTTTAAAAGTTCCCATTTCACAAAACAGTTGAAAAGCAAAGTACAAAAACAAATAAATATATAGCAGCAAGCAGCAATGCATGGGGTCCAAGCACCATGAAACCTAATGTCCCACGAGGTGGAAATCATGTCATGAACATCTCCATGTTTTATAATTCTACTACTTACAGTTGGGCTCCACGTAGAGTGATTACAATTGTCCTTCAGCACTATGAGGCATAACGCGCCAGTATACGGCTTCGTCACAGACAGTAGACCAATGAAAGGTAGACAAAATTTTGAAGAAGGCCACCATTCATCTTGATTCTAGATGAGGAATGTTCAAAGGCAATGTTTGTCAAGTTTAAGTGAAACTGACCTTTTGACCTTGGGATATTAAGCCGTAGAGTTTAAACAAATAAGTCAAAATACCTGACAAACGGTTCAAATTCCGATACGAGTTGAAATTGCAAAGTTGTTCAGCTTAAGAAGTTGAATAACTTAACACCCATTACTTACGTATAGAACACAGAAAATTATGGCAACATGATTTTAAGCCTCTTTGTGCACTGTAGCGCCCCCTAAGGGCAAAACCAAGTCAAACTTTGCATGCCTCGTTGGAACCTCAGTCCATGCAAGTGTTATAAATTGAGATGTTCAGGCTGGGTTTTTTATTAAACTATATAAACACCGAAGCAATAATGACTGAAAGAAATGTGGAGACCATGGTAGACAAATAAGGTAATTATTTTCCTACAGAACTTAGAGATTATATATTATTTTTGGTACAACAGTAAGCTCCGACCTTACAATCTGATTGGTGGAGAAGCATTCTAACTGTGCTGATATTTGTGATGGATGACCAAGATAACATTTGATCTAAGGCCCATTTTGCCATACTCTGAAGAAGAGTGTGGCTGCAGATACACATCAAACTGCCATTACCATAAAAACTATGTCGACTACAGTGATGGCAGAATAACTGAACATGCTGAAATTGGCTAGAAACAGGATACAATTCAGCAAACAAGGTAGGCTACAAAATGCTTTGCAGACTGGCTGTTACAAAATGACATTCAGGTTAATTTGGCAACAACTGTAAAGGCTGTGCTGAATGTGACACTTCGACAGTTCTATGGCTCTATCCTCACCACAATCCTTATGGTATCAGCAGTTATCTTGGACTGCACACAGGGCTCAACAGGTACCTTAATGAACATCCACTTAGTCGTTCATGGTGTGTAAAGAATTACCCTGAGTTTAAGCCTGCAAACAACATCTCCCTCGGAGCCGTTAAAACGATGAGACGCGAAGAGAGAGACAAACGACCTATCATCCGTCAATGGGGCAGTCGTGGGCTGGACATTAGGGAGCCAGCCTTGTGACCAGAAGGTCACTGGTTTGATCCCCTGAGCCGACAGTACGTGACTGAGGTGCCCTTGAACAAAGCACCTAATCCCCAACTGCTCCCCGGGCGCTGTGGATAGGGCTGCCCACCGCTCCGGGCAAGTATGCTCACTGCCCCCTTGTGTGTGTGTTCACTAGTGTGTATGTGGTGTTTCACTGCACAGATGAGTTAAATGCAGATCTCTAACTCTCTCTAACAGAATAAGAAGAAAAATAATCTACGTGCTTGGACCCCTAATAAATGTAAACACTAGCAAGTAAATCACAACAAAAGTTATAATAAATGTAAACATCAAATGTAGACAACATCAATCAGCAAATAAAAAAGGTAAAAAGCAAAGCAAATTACATGTAAACACCAAGTGACACAAATCTAATCATTCGGTTTTCACATTTTCTTTTTTTTCCCCCCCAAAGTGAAACGTCCAGCATCATAAATGCAATTGTGCCTTACCAGTTCTTCACAAAGTTCTGCTTTTACTTTCTTTGTACATCTTTGGCACCTATGTGCACTGAAATGTGGTGGGATTGGAATTTCATACAAATTTCATACGGAATTTCATGCTTGAGCACATTTAATAGTGATTGGAATTCCTCAATCTCTACAATTTGAAATGGATGTGTGTCTAACGCAATGAAGCAACCTGTCGCCACTGTTATTGCTTGAGCACAGTCAAGAGGTTGGGGAGAGTTTGGCACCGAACATTGCTGGAAGCACTGGCTGTGTCATCAGTAGCCTTCGTGGTTGGTGATTGAATACAGAGCAGCGTACTCTCACGGCAAGAATAAAAAACAACGTTTTCCATCACGTGCACTGTTAGCTGAACTGAAGCCTGTTGAACCATGGACTCACTAATATCTACCCATTAGGATACCGATGCAGAAAGAAACATTTATAAAATGTAGAAATTCAGAATAGACTCACAGAGAAATGTAACATTTATTTCTATAGGGCTAAAAAATACAGTAAAATTAACAAAATGCAGATATTCTAGTAAAGCAGTCCAAAACCGACCAGCACAAACAAATGACGAAATATCCGTCTGAAATATTGGTCCAATCTAAACATCTGTCCAACACCAACCTTTTTTTTTTTTCATTTTTTATGCATTTTTTTGACCCTCTTTTGCACGATGTTGCCTCAGGGCAACAAATTAATTTTCCTCACTTTACAGTATCAATATACATATTTGAAGACAACGATAGGGTTAACAATAAAGGGAAGAGTTTGAGTAAGTCAATAAAAAGTGTGTGTTTGGTCGTAATCTCTCTTAGTGGGAACTTTTAAACCTCTTTTTAAACACTGAGTGTCAATTTGTTTGTTATGAGATTTTGCACAAATATGTTTGTGTCTAGAAGCAACACTGTGCGACAGTGGAATGGATTTAGTCAGTCACAGGCCAGGTGTAACCTTTTCAGGGAACACAGCTCTATATCATTTCTTCCCTTTGACACACAATGTTGCCTCAAGACAACATACTCCAAAAGGACCCCTACACACATTATTATTATTATTATTATTATTTATGTTCTTGAATGTAATAATCAGACCTAAAAAATAAATCAAGGACCATTTTATGCAAGAAAAGTGAACTGATTTTTTTTTAATTGCTCTCATAATGCATGCAGTAGAGTGTTAAGTAACTGTCTGCCAGTACATGTATGATTCCATATGATGCGTGTCTGAAACTAAAATTAAGCTATTTTAACAGCAATTCTGTTTTGGGTAGCAATATTAAATGTGCCTTGTGTCTTTTTTAAAACACTTTATTGTACAGTTTTGCATAGTTTGTCTGTAATTACTGTATTTTTTGCCTGTCTGCACTGTTGTCTGTTAATGTTCTATGTTGAAATGTAGCGCTGGATCCTGGAGTAACTGCATTTTATTCCTCCCTCAACTCATCCGTGATCAGAAGGAATGACAATAAAACTAACAGTGACTCTTTAATTGCCTAGACCTTCGAGCAAGATACAAAAAGGCTAACAGTGGCATCATGAAGACGACAGTTTTGTAAGGGAAATCTGAATGGTGAACAAAACAAGGATACCGCCTTCCCTCTGCCTCCTCCCAGCTCTCCCGTGGAAATACCACAAAAGGTGAGACGTCTCCTCTCCGACACTGCAATACTTAAGGTACCAAGCCAAGCAAGCAAATTAACCCTGGCTGACCCCTTCTTAGAGTTGGCATCCCCCTACGGGCTCCCTGGGGGGCCAGCCACTGGCGCTGGCTCAGGGTAGAGGCATTTCAAGAATTGTCTGGGTAAGTAAAGCCTCACCTGGGAGCCTCCTGCCACAGGCACCGTGCATGTGAGAAGGTTGGCCACCAAACCCTCCAGAGGGAAGTTTAGAGTGTCGATGTAAACCGTGTAGATCAGCCCCAAACAGCCCTGGGGGACAAAGCAGACATGGAATTTAGTGCGTGCACGCGCACACACACACACACACACACACACACACACACACACACACAAAAGATATACACACATAGGCAGACACACGCAAAAACACACTGTGCAATAAACAACACAGAACTCCCAGACCGCCACAAACACACTGCATACCTACCTGAAAAAGGTCTCTCACTGTCAAATGCCACAATCCAAGGCATTTCTTAAGTTTAACAGGGATTTTACAAAGTATCACTAACAGGAAATGCCACCATGGGGGCTAATTTCACACGTAAGAATGCCTGCTTAAGTGGCTAAATTACTACACTCATCAATCTGGTATGCGGTTGTAAACAGTTATGTCTCGGGTGAGTACTAGAGGGCAACAGCTCCTTTTCCAGAACAGCCCTTACCTATTCCACAAATGTAGGCCAAGTTATATTAGAAAAGAAAAGCTTTGGATGCAGCATATTTCCTGGCTTTGGACTCCTGTGCGCTTGCTCTCCAGTCCCTGCACATTCCATCAGCTAAACAATTGCAGAACTGTTTGCAGTAGTGATCGATATCATTCAGCCCAGTAATGGGCTCAATTATCCCACAACTAACTTCTGCTCCAGAAAAGCAATAATGAGTAAAACGGCTAGCTTTGAAAGGAACCTCTTTGGAGATCACTGATTTACATCCTTAGCTAGGCCTTCAACAATTATTGCATAATTGTTTGTTTTCATAATGACGTTTACACTGTTAAACAGCATGTGATGTTCAGACGTTGAGGCAAACAGATATAAATAATAAAAAAAAAACAGAACCGCCTTACAAAAATAAATCACCAACAGATATTACAGTATGTAATGGGCCCGTAGTCTGGAAATAGGGATGTTAATAATTACCCAATCAACCCTTAACTGACAAATACATACATTTTTGACCAATACCTTCAGTTAAAAGGTTAACCGACAAACAATTGATATTTGAATAGGTGGGTTTATCATTCACTTTGAGGGTCATTGTTAAATTGTATGTATAAGGGTAGAAGAGCACAACTTGTTCTGGCAGTCCTACTTAGTAACGCCCAACTCCCTCGACCCCTGCCGCTTAAGTTTACTCCATGACTCTACTTAATTTTATCTGACAGCGCCAGAAGCTACAGTACCTACTGATCACAGTGATATGATGAAAATCCGTGCTTTTAGACTCTTACAGTCACTGACCAAGAGTTGATACCAACATCCAGATGTGCTGGAGTCAAAGGCTGACCCCTGCTCATGTGGTTATGTTGGTATTTCTCAACAAAAATGACTGGGACATTTAGCTAAGAGCTAAGAAAGGCTACAATTGACTCTTATTTTTAAGTCACGTTGCTTTTGTTGAGTGTAGCCTAAGCTACTGCCTTCAAATGTGTTTGTTAGCTAATGGTTAGCTATGTAGTTAGTTAAGCTTATGTGGTTAGTTATGTACAGTGGTGGACAGTAAGGAAGTAAATTTAATTTGTTACTGTACTTAAGTAGTTTTTTTTGTGTATCTGTACTTTACTGAAGTATTTCCATTTCTGGTGACTTTTTACTTTCAATCCACTACATTTCAAAGTCAAATATCTTTTTACTCCACTACATTATGCAAAATCTGTTGTTCCTTTTGGTTTATGTGTGTAAAAAAAAACTTAACATGTTAAAATGAAAGAAGTGCAAAGCAAGAACACCAATCAGGGCACAGCGGTCACTTTGTTTTGAGCTTGTTTTGACCTGTTGGTCATACCGACCCAGTGCAAGCATACGGTTCAACATCAGTGCAACAACGTAAAATTTTGTGTTATTCAACATAAATGATGGAACCAACCTAACTTTGTGTTAATATGTGTAATAATATGTAATAATGTGTCCATGATTTTAGATCTTTGGATAAACGATTAATCGCTGACTAGTAATGATGGGTTATTGGTAAAAAGTATTTGGTAAATACTGGTAAAAATTCTCATCCCTGCATATAAGTATATGATGAGGAGATGAAGAATATACTGTGATCAAATCAAAAACACTGCAATTAACTACTGGTGCATTTATACACACACTATAACGTAACAGCAGTGATACTCAAAAAAAAAATGTAAGAAAAAAAAAATTCAGTGTTGTTAATAAGGCCACCAGGTTCAAACACTGAAGTAACAGAGAGGAAATGATGGATATCTACTGTAGTTACAACATCACATACTAGAGAAATCACGTTAGCCATCTTATGTATGCATTACCCTAAATATTTCTGGGTAATCCAGCCTGGAGACCAAGATTAGACTTTTGGGCGCAAACACTTGCGCTGGCTGGATCAGACCATCTTCCTCTTCATCTTCATCTCCATCACCTTCCAGTGTCTTTGTGCCCTGGAAGAGAACAAGAATATGAGTAAAAAACCTAGTGAGTCCAGAGAGACTACAGATGAACCTTGTGTGATACACTTCCAGCTCAAAACATCTGTCTTTAAAAGAACAGCAACCTTGGCTGAACCTTGCTGTCTTGAGTGCTATTAGCAGGTATGACAGAGGAATTCTTCAACCTTTGGCTGTGGAGAGAGAACAGCATGGTCTGCTGGTTCCCTAAGGCGAAGGTTTTTAGCACAAAGAAATTTAATCACTGAAACGAAGGCCTAGTTAAATCCTCTGCTTCCTCAGTGGAAGATGACAGAATATCAGGGGGGACTGAGGAGATGTTTCTGTTAATTCTGCATCATTCGGGGTTGATAATCATCTGAGTTGAGAAGTTGAGAAAGCAACGAGAAACCATGCATAAATATGATTACAGCTAAACCCCCATATAAATCTATGCTTAGCGTGCTCATGAGCACAACGTGACCAATTTGCAGCATACAGACAGAGCGCTGTTCATCCGGGGAATTCTCACGCCAAAGCGGCATGCCACAGCTGCTAAATTATTTGTGACATCGATTGGAACTTGATGTGGTCTGAAGTCACTGGTCCATGTTAACACCCAAATGTAATTCCTCTTTTTTTTCCCCCAGAAAGAAAGCATGAAACATAACAGAAGTAAATTAAGTTTGTGGGGCCTGCATACCTCTTAGGCAAGAGCATGAGTCTATGCTGACAGAATTAATGTTGCCCAAGGATGGAGGAAAAGTTCAGGGAATCTTGTGATATGAGACTGTAGGCTAAGCACGGAAATCCAAAGGGAAATGGAAACCCAGATGCTGGCCTATTAATAGAATTCTCTTTTAGAAATCATATAATTGTCGCCCATTTTGTCCAAGAGTCGTCCAAGAGTCGTCTCCAACGGCTTGAGGGATGTTATTTTAACCTATGACGGCTCACGATACAAGCAAAGCACTAAAGTTGTGGCGGCTGGAAATCTAATTCATTAAATTAGGCTCAGTTTGTATTTGGAAAGAAATCTAATTTTCCTCACAACTGTGTCAAAAGATGTAATCTGTGCACAAACAGCTAGATCAGCATGAACAACTACAGTATGGCCCCATTGTTTGACATTAATGAGGTCAAAAAAATGGAATTAGAACAAACATTGGCTGCCTTTTATTAAAAAAAGAAAAAAAAACAACAGAAATTAAAATTATTCGTAAAACGAACAAAAAGAAGGCACAAAACTGGCTGAATAAGGAATATTAATATAAATCTTTCATGAGTGACCATTTTCTTCTTCAGATATATAACAAAGAAAAATGAAAGAAGATGAACATAGTGGTCAAGTCTTGAGTCCCAAAACTCTAAACCTGGTTCTAATTGTCTTATTTGAGCCTTCAACACGTGTAGATATTCATACTGGTGCCCACCTCTCAAACCCCGCTGACTAACCTCTTTATTGGACTCCACTGAGTTTGCTCAGACAAAGAAAACATGCCATGAGAGCCACAGCATCTTATCTGTGGGGAGCGCGGGATTAAAATACCCCCATAGATGGGAAACACATTTCAGCATTATTGGGGGGGATTTGGCTCAATTATGAGAGAAAATACATTCCATAGCTGCTTCATCCAATCAGATAAAAGCAAAATTTACTTCAGTGCTCTGAATTCTATAGTGTTCTACTGCAGCATGAAATGAAGCGGACTAGGACAGGATTATCTTTGCAGTGTCAGATCATGATTCTCAGCGCTTTTCTTTATGGTTTTCTTATTATTTTTGGGGATTTTAGTAAAGTTCAACTCCACCCGCTAGTTAGTCTCCTCTTATCGCACAAAGCTACCAGGCTGGGAGGGTGACGGCTAGCACATGCTTCCTCGGAGCCTGTTAAATAAGCTAACAGACACCTGCGTTAGCTAGTATGTCGCTGGAGAGGGAGAAAGAGATGGTCATCCCACCCACCCAGAGAGAGGAAGGCCAATTATGCTCTCATAGACTCTCAACAATGGATGGCTATGGTATCATAAGGGACAAAATCTCTGATGATTAGATGGCTGTACCACTCAGGACCTGCATTCATTCTGTTTTAAATGTTTATCAAGTTATTATAAACATTCACATATTTACAGTAGATAAGAATATAACATATTATAATACAAGCTACAGAACAAGTGGTTGGTACAGCAAGAAGAATCAAAGCTGTAGGAAAGCACCGATATAGCAATTGTGTCGATGCCGATATCAGATATTCTTCATGAGTTTATCTGTCGCTGCCAATGCATGAACATTTATTCAATATAGAAATTTAGATTAAATCAATCTGGATTAGCAAATCTATTTCTGCAAGCTTACAAATGCAGAATAAATAGAAATTTTAGCATTACCAAAACTGTCTGCTCTTTCAGAATACGATACATCGCTGCTGTCGGAAGAAAATCTCATATCACTATTTTTGTCGTTTTTCAGTTGTTAACATTGTGTGTAAATTTCACGATGAATGGACCAAAAGAAACGGCCCAAAAAGACTTGGACAAAAGTCTGGTTCCATTGACTTACATTAGTAAAGTAGATTTTTTCCTTCTCCTGTAAAGTTACCATTTTGGAGACACAAGGTTTTCTTCCAACAACAGCGATATACAACATATAGGTGTAGAATATTGGTCAAATCTGAAAATCTGTCCAACACGGACATCTTTTCTTGAAAGCAGATATTTTAGAATATTGACATGATTCTGATATTATCGCGCATCCCTACAAAGCACACTATGCTCAAATGCCATGACATTTCTTTGGACATCCATGCCATGATTGCAACAGGGTGTGGTACAGATGCTGGAATTTGCCAGCAGAAGTCATTTCACCAAAGACTGTTTGTCAATAAATGCATTTCAATCTTGCAATTTTGTTTTCTAGTCATTAGACAATAGAAACTGAAGATCTGAAGAACATAAATAAGAAAGAATAAACAGCATAGCCAAAGCACAAGCAGAGTGAAAAGGGCTTGCGGGAGGCAGGAGAGGGAATGTCTGTTGGGAATGTCTGATAATAAAGACTGATTCTTTGGTCCTAATGTGCGCAAAGACACTACAGCTGCACACATCCGGGTGGCCTTCACCACTAGTCGCCTGCGGAGCTCGGCATTGGAGGACATGGCCTAAACGAGGAGGATTAAAGGATCTCTTTGAAAGAGGAGGACTGGAGGACAACTCCTGCGAGAAGTCACGAAGGGAGGCTGCGCCGGCCGACAGCTGGGGGTTATCGCAGCTTGATGTGCTTTGCTTCTTCACTCCTGCCAAGCTGTTGCATAAACTTCAAAAAAGGCCAGGCCACAAATGCACAGTGGCCGTCACATTACACGTATTTGTGTTGGCATGTGTAAGTTCAGCCTCTTATTTGAGCTGGAGCTTTGAAGCAACAGGAAGTCCACAATAACTCCTCATGCTGGCATGCAGACTGACGCCTGCGGTAAACAGAGTGATTCACGAATAGGAGGTAAATTCATTAACCTTTCTGAGCGGTTAAACAGATAGGAGTCCACTAAAATGATTCACTTCATCGCAATGCGTGTCTTTGTCATGACAATTAGGTCCTGAGCTCCTCCAATTAAACAAAATGTTGAATCCTGATGCTGGGCTAACATTCCAAGTAGATGCGTATTGTCAGGATGTGGAAAAACATGAAAATCCAAGTATGCATGGCATAATGAGCACCATTTACAGTGACGCCATCAGTATCTTTATAGAGTTAGCCTTTTGTTTACTGTGACCTTCTTTAAAAGAACTTCAGTGGTCTATGGCAGCAGCCACTGACACCTCAGATGTTACCAGTCAAGCTGAAAAGTTTCATTTCCAGTTCACTTTTACTGTGACTGTTCTTGGAATCTCAGTGTTTTCTTTCTAAAGCCCTCAAGCAAGAGTTTCTGGAACCCATCATGCACGTGACATGAGTTGCTAAATAAAAAATTGTTCCTAAGAGGAGAAAAAAATACATTTCGATGCATAAAGAACACCAAATATTAAGCCAAACAAACAGTGAAGGATTTGCCCAACAGAACAGAAAAACAACTGCACACAATGAAGCCTAAATCCTGACCCACAGACAGACCAGTTTGCAGTCTTCAAAACATCAGGCAATAAAATGAGGTTGTCTACTAGGGTTACTTAACACAACTGATCCATTTAATTACCTATCTCTAGCATTATGAGGGATCCTAAAACTTAGGCCCAATCCCATTTCACCCCTCGCCCCTACCACTTAGCCCCTAGCCCTCTGTTTTGCGCGTTCAGATCTAGGGTTAGGGTGTCCCAGTTTGTGTTGAGATAGAGGGGTAGGGTGAAGTGTTGGGGCTACATGGCCCTCCAAACGGAGGTTTTTCAAAGACAATTCAAACGGAGTGTTATGAGAAAAAAAAGAAAAACCGGCACGATGGCTGAAAGAGACCAAAGAAACCTACAAATGAAAGTATTTTCTTCGTTAAAAAATTACGATAATCATTATATTATCTTAGTTTAATGTCGTTTCAATGTATTATGGTCATTTTCTTCGTAACAAGCATAAAAAATCTCCAATAGCATGCTAATGTCTCTGTAGCTAGCTAGCTAACTTTCCCGTTCCACCTTAAATAGTCCAGCAGTTCTGATGCGTGAAGCGCCAGAATGTAACTGCTGCACCATTTAAGGTGGAACGGGAAAATTCGAAAAGAACCTGGTGAATATCTGACTTCAGCTTAGCATCACCAAACAATTAGCAGTGGGCGATAATAAATAACCGCCTTATCTCCCCTCTTCGAAGACATATGATGCCCTAAATGTAACAGTGAGGTTGCTGAACTTTTCCCTCCTCTGCTGTCAATGAAGACGGGCCGGGTCGCCTACAGAGCAGCGCTAGTAGCCTGTTAACGAGGAAATGTTTAATTTGAGGGTTGTCCCATTTTGTAGAGGAAGATTTCAACCACTACCCCTTGTAACTCCATTCCAAGGGGTTAGGGTGACACTCGAAAACAAGGGGTAGGGGTAAAAAGAAGAAATGGGATTGGGCCTTAGACTCTTTTTGGAGAAGTAGCACCTCATGGATCAGCAATATGAAGAACTATAATACTCTTCGGAGGAATCTCAACTCTCTCTTGGACCGGCACTGTGAACCCGAATTCTATGAAGAACAGAAACTTTAAGACGTTACATTCAGTGCTGTATATAAGTCGTGTTAATAAAGACTGTTGACAGCATGGTAACGACAGCACCAGGCAATCTCACCTGCAAGTTGACTTCGGCCTCATAGAAGGTCAGGCAAGAGCAGTAGTGTCTGTCCGAGTCGATGTCCGTCAGCACCACTGTGAAGAAGGTCGGAGGTTTCCTCTCACGAGACAGCCTCCATCCTCCTGGCTGACAGAACTGGAGAAAGAAAAGAAAGAACATAAACATTATATATAGCTAGATCCCACACAAAACATACAAAAGCAGAAAGCAAAACATCTAAAAGAGAACTACAGAGTACAAGAGGACATTCAGGCAGGTGTGGTATCAACAGGGCCGGGGTGTTCATATACGCAAACCAGCTGATTAAAGACGATGTCATTTTACCAAGCTCTCTATGACAGTGCTCTGCAAGCACGACTGGTTGAGGACATTTCCTGTCCCAGCCTTCGCTAAAGCCTGACCCGAAACACAGACCAAACACAGACATCCCAAAAGTTTGAAGAGGAGATGGAAACAGTGAGATGATTTTGAATTTTTGCTGGGTTATCTGACCAACAGAAACAAACAACTATACAGGGTGATTCAAAAAGATTCACCCACTTTCAAAGTGCCATATTATCACAACTGTGAGGTGCCTAGGAACCAATCACATTCCAATTGAAAGAGGGGGTCATTTTTCTGTCACCAGAAGATGGCTCCCTTTAGTCTGCGAGGAGATGAGACCCCGGAGAAGAACGCATTCTGTGTTCTCCACTTCAATAAGAGTGAATCCGTCATAACTGTGCAGCGTGATTTTCGGCAGTGAACCTCCAACAGCTCAGAGCGTTCATTGGTTCCACAAAACTGGATGATCTCCGAAATCGCACTGAAAGAGCCGTGAGTGACATCCGACATGCTCAACTTGACTATGCCATTGATGTTGTCCGTACAGCTGGAGAAGGTTCATACTGAGCTCTTGTAAAATTACATAATAAACTTTAAGCTCAGTTTACTGCATTGTTCTGTAATGATTTACAAGTGAAATAAATCATTTTGAAATCGGATGAATCTTTCTGAATCACCCTGTATTATTATAGTATAGTATTGGTATAAACTACTGTATTTGTAAGCAGGTTATTGTAAAACACTTGCTTGGAGTGTTATTTGTATAGTAAATTATGCATCACATATCTTACAGGATTGAAGTTGGCCACTATGTGTTGCTTAGATACAAATAACTAGCCTGTTTTTATTTTTTGGGGGATTTTCACCCTATTTAGTCTTTGCCAGGTCCATCCACAAGCTTGGTCTTTTGCCAATTAGATGAAGCTACCAAGGGTGAAGGGTGAAGGCCAGCATATATACATCCTTCCTGCCGCTAACACAACAGGACAGGTAAAAGTGCTTGGATGAGACCGTCAACTCAGTTGCGTTAAATAACAGACACCTACTCACACAGAGAGAGCGAGTCCAATTATATTCCCTTGGACTCCTAACCGTGAACGGCTGTGGCATCACCAAGGATTAAACTTGCAATGTCCCGATGACGGAGCCAACAGGGAGCCCCTATAATTGGCCATTTTAACAAGTGTTGAAAGCGTATGCTGGCCTAACAATACTTAATTTGAGTTCATGGGCAGAGCAATGGCTTTTGTGTGTTGCTTATTGTTTGTGACCATTACTGGAAAGAGATGTGAGAAGGGAGTTTTGTGAGGATGGGCCCGCAGTGCTGGGGTGCTGGTAACTCATAGGCGTAAAAGGTGGTAATGTGTTTATTATTGTGGAGAAATGGGCAGGATGTCCTCCTCCAGCTACTACATCCTCTCATCAGAGGGCAGGAAATGGCACCAATCCGCTTTCCTTGCTGCTCACTCAAACATGCTCTTCAGATGATCTGAGTCAGGCAAACAGAGCCCATCAAGCAGCCTGAGCTAGTCCCCTCATTTTGTGGTGAAATTAAACTTTTAAAAAAGAATGACTAAGTAGAGCTACTGCATCACAGATTTGTCCAAGCCTACTGAGAGATTTGGAACCACAAAAGAGTTCCTGAGCAGTGGAGCAGAATACTGTAGCTGATAAAAGGCATGTCCTGCAGTGTGACAGATTGGAGAGGAGAGAGTAAGTCTGGGAGGCCAGGCAGCGAGAAAGCTAAAATGTGCAAGGGTTAGTGCCAGCATCCACTGCGGCCTGGCATCCGTGCAGTGTTTAGACTGCAAACAACAGCCCAGTAGGAAAAACAGGAGGCACAGGAAGAGTATAACAGATGATGCAGAAACAGAGGAAGAGAGATATGAAAAGTTATTTAGTGACCGTGGAATGATGAAAAGCATGCCATTATGGTTATTTTCATTACTTAGGAACACTTTAGCAGTACGCTCGGAGGAGGAGAAGGATAGGGGGGAAATAGAAAGAAAGGAAAAGAAAGCGAAAGAGTGGTGCAACGACCCGAGAGCTTGAACCAGGATGTCACCGTCCAGCAACAGACACAATAGCAGGCAGGAAATCTGTAACGCTGGAAGGCAGAGGGGGAAGAGCGTGACGCTTCCCCCGTCATCAGATCAGGACAGGTGCCAGGAAAACTACGGAAAAATATGAAAATATGCAAAGTATGTCATAAATTTCCAGCGGAAAACAGACAAACTCTGATGTTGTCTACCTGAGTACACAATAGGTACAGAGGCCTGAAGTGGCGGACGGAGTGCGTTTGGCTACAACTACATCAACAGCCCACTTCTCTGAACTGTTATGATTTCAAAGGCCAGCAGTTTCAAGGAGAAATGCCGGAATTCTGGCCTGGACTCAACCACTCACAGATGAAGCATCAGTTTATGTGCACTTGCTCACGCTTGGGTTTAATTCACAAGAAGGAACGTCCAGATGGAACCCGTAACGGTAGATCTTCTGACATGCCCACCTGATGCAAATTACAGCAGTTTTGTTTACAAGGTCAGCTTAAGCTTGATGGCTAGGCCCATTTGAGAAGTCTGTAGGGAGAGCAGCATCTCTAGTAGACTCTAGGCAGCTCTAGAGAGGGAGGCGCTTCCCACGGTCAGAAGCCGAAGCTTGACTGATCCAAACCGACTGCCAACAATGAAGTCCGATCACATGACTGGCCTCCGTCAGAGCTGAAGTCGTAATATGTAATTCACACCGAACAATTCACTTTTCAGCATGTTCAACCACATCAGCTTGTAAAAGACTGGAGATCTTAAAGTAATCAAAACACCTGAACAACATAAATATCAGCAATGTGAAACTATCCTGCATGAAAGCCTAAATAGGGAGGACCTGCAGCCCTGATGGGTAAGGAGGCACTCGGAGAAAGAGCAGGGAGGAGAAGTTAAAACAACGTTAAAAACAAGTCTCTGATAAGAGACCCCCACTACTGTATGCTCACGACTGACCTCTGTACAAAGTACAGGGTGACCAGAAAAAGAATGCTCATAACAGTGTATCTAACCTCTAACAGGCTGTATGTGCGCACACACACACACACACACACACACACACACACACACACACACACACACACACACACTCAGACAGAAGCAGCTGAGTCACATCACAGGCAGAGGACAGACCCTGGGCTCAAATTAGCTCCCAGTCAAGTGACAACGGCACTTGAAGTGTTCCAGTGTTTGTGATGTCAATAGACTTGGCAACATCTCTGCCTTGTCGGTGAGGGTTCCTCGTCATGTGGGCAGCAAGTGGCACGTCCCCCGCTGCACAAAAGAGACACCAGATCTGCGGCTTGACCTGCTAAGAATCGGTGCATCAGAGCAAGTATGAAGAACAGGACAACCAAATTAGACCCCCGTCTGCCGTCTGCTGTATTCTATTACTCTGGTCGTGCCTTTCTGTTTAACGACAACCATAAATGGCGTGGGATCATTGTCCCGACTAGAGGACAAAGAGAACATCGCTGGTGTGTACGAACCGCAAGAGCAGTCAAGTGTGGGCTGTGTACTGAGAATAACTTCTCCGCACCACAATTTCTCTCGTTTCCTCATTTCTCATTTCCTTTCAAAAGGTATAACTTTTTTCCTTTTTCTTTCTCATTATTTAAAAAAAAAAATAACTTGCCAGGAATACAATGATTTGTACAGAGAGAAAAATGGAGAACAAAAGATGACCAAGTCTTTCCACGAATGAAATAAGAAATCTGTGCACATTGCAGTTTCAAAAGGCTTATGACAATTTTACTGGAAGGGCTCTGGTCAAATTCAGCCCTTTTCCATACTACGGCCCAACAGATATAAAAAATTTTGTGGTCAAGACCGATTTTTTGATAACGGATAATATCAGCTGATCTAATTTTACACTGATATTTTACTATTACACACCAGTGGCTTGGTTAAACTGAGATGATTGCCAGATCTCAATTACCCCAATTACCATCTCAATTCTTACACTAAGTAAACAGCAAAAAATTCATGGCATATAAATATTATAACACTGGGGGTGGAGCTACTCAGAACACTTTGTGCTTTTGGTTTCTGTTTATCATTGTTCTCATTTTTCATTCATTTCATTTCAAAGTTTTGTGTGCATGGCAGAACATGTTATCCTGACGTTAAACATGAGGTTCGGATGCACTGTCATCAACAGAAAAGGCAAAATAATTGACAGTGATACTGAATGAATGACACTGAATGAGGCTCAAACAATATATCGGTTGGCCGATTATATCGGCCAATATTAATGAACAGTGGTGTTATTGTAATTTAAGCAATAGAACACTCGAGGTCGTGTGTTATCGCGAAATAACATCACGGCTGTGATTTGGTTGTCGTAGTTTATCACAGCCGTGATGTAATTCGTGATAACACACGACCTCCAGTGTTCTATTGCTTTTATACAACAGTTAAAAAATAAAGTAATAAATTAATAAACTGGGTCGTGAACGTGGCGTTTAATGTTTTAATGTTCGCAGTTCCTTCACCAAATTATAGTTCCTTAACAAGCAGCTCGTTGCTACATCAGAGTAACGAGCTCCGCTCTCTCGCTGCACAGCCGGCAGTTTGTTCTCCAGCTCCTTACACTAAATTCCCAAACCGTCATCACCACTGAGCAGCTTTTCAGTCAGCAGCTGTGACAGAAGAACAGCTAAACAACCTGGAATCAGCCAGAAATGAACCCAACACCATTCGCCAAACTAAATGGGCTGTAAGATGCTTTACAGACTGGCTGGAACAAAACAACATTAATATTGATCT